TCAAACTTGAATCCAATGTCCAATAATATCTCGAATACATATAAACAGAAATTACATCAGAAACAGAACTTAATTGAAAAAAATGGTTCGAATCGAGAGGTTAATCAGTGAAAAACAACTTACCAGGTTCAAATTTGGTGGAACAGACCTAAAAAAGGACTCAGGACGTCAAAAAACATCATGATAAGTGTTCCCGGAAAAAGTCGACGGTTGCTCAACGGTCAGTAAGTAGTCAACACATGGTCAATGGATCTTCTCGACTCGATATAACCTGTCCAAATTTTTCCAACTAGTTTAGCCGGTCAACAGACTCCCCTGGTTGACAGACGATACCCACGCGTAGGAAGCGGCGCATGTGGTGGCTCTGGTTATCAGACGGTGATAAAAATTTCCAGATCGATAGATTAATGACTCTGGAGTCTCATGGTGGTGACACAGCGATGCAACAGTGACTAAAACAGAAAAAATGACGAAAAACCAAGGTGGCACTTTGGTTTTCCGGTGAAACTTCGATCTCTTCCAAACGACGAGGGCTTTCAACGCACTACTAGAGGGGTTTTGATCGGGATTCAATGACGCTTCACCAGGGATGGTCGATGTTGCTCACCGACGAGTGGAGATGGAGGAGCGGTGAGGGGTTGATCGAACATCTCCCCTTATTTTGCTAAGATTTACTGTCAATCGGTGTGATTCCTCGATTGGGGTTTGGTCACGGTTGGACGCCGGAGCTAGCGATGGTGGCGATGAATACCACGGCCGACCGGAGGTTGCTGAACGACGAGGAATTGGGGGTGACGATTAGGGTTGAAACAATTTGGGGGAAATATTTGAGGTATTTAGGTTTTGCAATCTGATTTGAGGGAATAGTTTTGGGGTTAAAACTGAGCCAGATTACATCAAAAGCTATTTTAATTATTTATACATTTTAATAATAAGTTCATATTAAAAAATTCACCAAATTTAAGAAAAATTAAAAGTAAACTTTAAAAATTGATAATTATTCAGTTAGTCTCAAAGGCGAACGGATAAGTTATGAGATTTGGTTGTGGAATGCATTCATCTAAATTTATTCGACTTATGGATGAAATTTTTATTTATTAATCTAGGGTGATTATAATATAGTATATGTTCTAAAGATTCTCAACCTTTTAACAATAAAAGCTCAAATACATTTGTAGTCTCTAGTACTCAAATATGTGACCTCTATAATAATAATTATCCCTTTAACTATTGAATTAGCTTGATTCGTGTGGATAAAATTTTGTTTGAATAAAAGAATCAAAGGAATCCCAATGCACCGAAGAAATTACTCTATTTAATGTCTTAGTGATAATGTTTTCAAGTCTTATATTTGACCCAAACTATATGGATATATTTAAAGCATATTTATTTCAATATCTTAGTGTCTATATTTTCTTAACCAAAAAAATGGTTGTATGTTTAAAATAAATTTTATTTCAATATTTTATTGACAATTAATGTTTCAAGACGTATACAGTTGATCAGGAATGCGTGTATATATAAAATACATTTATTTTGACATTGTTGATCACTGTGATCATGTTTCAAGTCTTATATTTGACCAAATCTTTTTATATATTTAAAGTAGGTTTATTTCAAAAACTTAGTGACACGTGTAATATTTATCTAAATCAATATGTACATTATTCATTCAATTCATCTAAGTATTTTATACACTTATTAAAGTTTAATGTCTTGGGAATAGGGAAAGATATATAAGATGAGATGTAACTAGAGTCTTCTTGGAATAATTTTAAAATCAAAATTCTAAAATGGACTTTTATAGAATAAAAATATATTTCATAATATTAGATTAATTTACTATTTTATTAATAAATTATAAAAATATAATTAAATTTTATTAGACATATTGTTTTTTATTTATTAAAAAAGACTTTAAATAAAATTAAAATAATAACCAACAATCACTAATTTATAACATTATTAAATATATTACTTTTATTATTTTTCGAAGATTGAAAGTGAGACTTGGAAGGGAACTCATACTGTTCTCCCAAGAGCCGACTCTGGATGTGATATAATCACATCGATTTATTTAATTTATGTTACTAAATCACCCCATTGCTGGCATTATGCTAAACAGCCTAGTAATCATCAGGATACGCCTCGATGATGGAAGTCAAGGCTGGAATGTCGATGATGTTGTAGCGAGAGAAACCTCCTTGTTCCAATATTCTCTTCCACTCCACCTCCGTTCTCTCCTTTCCACACCTGGTATGAGCAATCATCACTAGGTCGAGAACGAATCCCAAGTCGTCGTACAGTCCGTTTCCGTCCGGTTTCAAGACAACCTCAACGATGATCACTTTGCCTTTCCCTCTTGGAATTGCTTTCCTGCAATTCTTTAATATCTGTATGCAATCTTCATCACCCCAGTCATGCAATATCCACTGCAAAACAAAACACAAAAACAACAGTGTCCAAACTCTCTCTTCTCATCATCATTAATTTCACGGCGTGATTTCAATACTGTACAATAGTTGAAGTTGAGGCAGATGTTTGAAAAGACCAAATGTTGTGTCGGTTGCTTGAAAATGATATTTAACCTAAAGAGAAATTAGTTTAACTTCTTTTCTCCAATAATTCTTTTACCTATAAATAAGGACCCCATTGAGCTGATTTTGTGCACTCCAATTATAGGGGGTGCAGGTGTGATGTTAAATCATGCATATAGTTACTAGCAAAAATAGAGTCATAACAAGTAGAATGATAAAAATTTAATATTTCTCAAGAAAAACTTTATGTTTAAATCTTATTATAAAAACAATGTTGAGAGAATTTTGATATATATAGTTATGATTTTATACTATAAATGTTATAAGATCTACATAACTACATTAAAAACTTCGAGAGACTAACGTAGGTACCTTCATAATGACCGCATCAGCACTTGGAATGGCCTGAAACATATCGCCGCCAATATGGCTGACCCCATCGTATGGTGGCGCCGTCGAGATGACATGCTGCAAATCGAAGTTAACTCCTTTGATGTAAGGATACGCTTTGACAATCTCAGATATCAAGCTTCCCGTTCCACCACCAACGTCAACCAATGATCCAATCGAGCTCAACCCTTCTTTGTACCCCGACAAGATTGCTCTGGTGATGAACTTTGATGTACACGCCATACCGTCGTTAAAAAGCAGGTTTAATTCGGGGTTCTCCGAAGCCATATCCCATATCTCACGCCCGTGAGCTTTCTTGAAGGCGATGCCACCTTCCTGAACGCATTGGCTAAAGCAGTGCCAAGGAGCCATTAGCAACGGATGGTTCTCCAGCAGTACCAAGGGCGCCAGGGTTTGCTCCGAGTCGTGTAGGATCCATCTTGATGAGTGAGTCAGGTCGTACACGGGATCTCCACCATCTGAAGGGTGGTGGACGGTAAAAATCTTTCGACGGACGAGCAATCTCATTATGCGAGCAAGGGTGGTGATGTCCGGCGAAGACGTGCCGCTGCCGCCGTTAATGCATGAAGCTATTTGTGACAGAGTGATGGCGCCACCGTGAGAGTGTATTATGTCGGCTATGCGGAGCTCGACAGCAGACTTAAGCGCCATAGAATCCGCAAAGATCAACAAGGACCGCCATATCTCCACTTGTCCCTGTAGCGTTGCTTCATCTAATTCTATTGATGCCATTTGTCTCTCCTTTTCTTGTGAACTCATTTTTATTCGAAATAAGTAAATATATAATGAAGTGGAGAGGAATAAAATCGGAGGATTTTCTTATATAACTGTTGATTTTATGTTTTTATTATTCTAGATTGGGCTTAAATGTCAAATTCGCCCATCATCTTTGAAAATTAATATCCAATAAAACTTTTAGTTTTTCATCTTTCTAAATTATTGGATAAGAAAAAAATAAAAAAATATTATATTTGATTTTAATAGATCATATGAATCTGTTAGATCATCTCGAAGGATTATAATTATCTATAGAATATACGATTATACAGATTTTGAAAAACCTTTAACTCTCTATTGATTAAAAAATAACAGTAAAATATGACTTCCGAATAAGACTTAAAAGATGTACCACAATAGCTATATAAAATATATTATATATTATGAAAATTTTTAATAAGATATCTTGATTACAAAGTATCTTATGTATTTTTTTAACAAGATTATAAAGTTTGTTCTTTTCGATATATACAATACAACGATAATCAATAAATGTGTTCATTAACGATATTATAACTCTATTAATCCATTTGTCAAAAGAAAAAGTCTTAATATTTATATATTAAAGAACTGAGAAAAACAATTTCTTTTGGGATGAAGATTATTTATTACATGAAATCTATAAAAGTATGCAGGACCAAGTCCTTTTGATAATATTATGAACAAAATCAATTAAAATTAAAACACATGTTATGCAAAGGTATGCTAATCTGTGAATTTTAACATGGATTTTGACCCCAAAAAAATTATTTTGAAACGTATATGCATCATATTTACTATAAAAAAAAGGTAAACTACACGTTTAATATCCAAACTGTTACTTTTGTTATGTTTTGGTACTCAAACTTTATATTTTTAAATCATATCTAACGTTTAGTTTATGTTTCAATTATGTCCCATCGTTAAAAAATTAATAGAACTGCTAACATAATATTTTTTATTTTCTTCACTGATGATGTGACATCACCTTATGATGACACGTCTCACTGTTAAATTTTTAACAGTGGGTACCAAATTGAAACATAAACTAAATATTAGATATAATTTTAAAAAAAATAAAATTTAAATACTAAAACAAAATAAAAATAATAATTTTGATACTAACCGTGTAATTTATTTCAGTAACATAATACTCTTAATAATATACGTCAGCATGAAGTTGAGGCGATTGCAAAACTCAGAATAAAACATAAACTCTGTTTGATTACAAAAGCATGATGGACAACCTCAGTATAATACAAAACGAAAAACTAGAGAGAGATAAAGTGGAAATTTTCATGGAACCGGGTAAGACTTCTTGTTACACATGCACTTGTAAGCCATAGGACATGTTTCGGCTTCTTGCTGCGACGCACATACAAAACTCACTATAACTAGTCTGCAAGGTGTGCACGACCCGCATGCGTGTGAGCAGTCAGGCAATCTCGATCCTGCAACCTGTAGTGTGTCTGCTCTTTTTCTTTTCAACATCATCGGCCTGCTTCTTCTCCGGTACGAACTCGGTTCCGATATCAACCCTTCTCTTGTTCTTGGTTCACCATGATCGGTACGTGTTTGTAGCCGCCTTGCAGACGTGAAAACAGGAGCACACAAGAGAAAAACCAGAATTGCAGCAACACAAACAGAAGGTTTCATGGCTTTCGATTATATTATTGCAAGTGGGAAAAAAGGGTACTGGATATGAGGGAAAATGGTGAAATGGAGGAGCCATATTTAAAAAGGGTGGATTAAAGAGAAGGGATATTGAAGCAAATCACAGGCAAAAGTATGGAAAGATGGATTGCCATGAGAGAAAAGTCACATGAAAGAAGGTGGAAGGGGAAGGGCCGAAGAAGAGAGTTTTGCTCACGGAGACTCACAGGAGTCTTCAAAGCCTGTGGTGGCACTTGTAATAATACTGAAATCGGAAGTGTTCGTTTTTGCGTGAATCCTGACTTTCCATATTTGCTCGGCCAAACATGAAACAATAAATGAATGTTGTGAAGATTTGGGAAGGTATTTTTATTAGTTACACTGGTTTTATGCTTGATTAATGATGTTGCAGCTAATAAATTTGGTACTGAGGATCTTATGTGACTGCCATTAATGTTTGCAGATTTGTTCCGCAATGAGAACAAGCGAGTGGACTAAAACTAATGGTGTAAATGAACCTAGGTCAAAATGATATGGTTGTATTCCTGTTCTTTTGTTTTTTTTAAGATGTTCGTTCATGTTCGTCTAAAGTTTTAATATTGTGTTCACGTTTATTTATTTATTATTCACGAACATATTTATCTAATGTTCACGAACATGTTCGTTTAGTGTTATCGAACATTTTCATTTATATGTTTAGAAATGATAAAATTATATCACTAGTCTTTTAACTCCTTAAGCTTCACAGTTTGTACTCCAATTTCACCTTGAGTTCAATTTAGTCATTGTATTCTCCAATATTTAAAATGTAAAAGAATAAAAGAAAAAGAAAATTTGAATAAACAATATTATAACCGAGTCGATAAACAAGCTTTTAAATGAGACGTCAATAAACAAGCTTCCAAATGAGTATTTTCAAGAATATAAACGAACTAAGTTATTAAATGAATATAAAAAATTTGTCTATACTTGTTTCTTTAATTTAATAAACGAACGTTTTATGAACAGCTAATTGAACGTAATGTTGATTTAGCAGCTTAACAAAAAGTGATGGATAGAAGACACCAAGCCAGTTTGGGCTTGTTGAAGGCTGATTACAATTTGTACAAATGACATCCACATATTTTGGTGCAAATTGGTTAACATCCATACATATTGCAACATTGTCCTTAATCAACGGGGGCAAATCCCCAACCTCGTCTTCCTTATCTTCTCCCCATGTTCCATCGTGGAACCAGAAAAGGGAGACGGGAGACGGGGCATCTCCCATGTTTTGTCGTCTTGTTCGTAACATAATTCGTAACACAGAACGGACGAACACGAATAGGAGGTTGACTACTACCCAGAGATAGTCAACCGGAGAACATGGGATCCAGCGGTTGCCTACGTTGTATATGCTGCTGCTATAACTGTCTTGTGTGTTTGATTCTCGCCGCTTTTGCAATATCCATCTTCTTTCTCGTATATTACCAACCCGAAAGGCCTATCTATGAACTCAAGGATTTCGAGGTGAAGAAATTCGATATCCATGGCAATATCCTCGAAACCGACATCGCCGTTTCCGTCCAGGCAATCAACACCAACAGCAAAATCGAGCTGAGGTATGGCAAGGAAAACTCCATCGATGTCGAGTATTGGGAGACAAAGATCTGTTCTGGTTCGATCCCACCTTTCTTGCAACCGACGAAGAACACTACGACGGTGAACACGTCATTGGAAGGGAAGACTGAAGTGAGCCAAAGTTTCCAGGACTCACTGGAAAGAGACCAGATGGAGGGGAGAATCCCATTAGATATAGAGATAGAAATGTCCATAATATTTGTGATTGAAGGAATTAATTGGAGAAAGATGGAGACGAAGATGAAGTGCATCTTAGTCATTGACAGTTTGAATTCAGATAAAAAAACCAAGATTTTTAATAAGAAATGTGGGATTAAGCATGAAATGGCCTAAGACCATATCTCCTCTCTTGTTTTGTTTTCAGCCTGAATTTTGATTGAGAGGAGATTAGTTGAAGCAATGTCTTTCATTTCTTTGATTCGTTTTACGTTGTTTTCCAGTTCCCAGATGCAAGAAAACATACGTATAATAAAGATGTATTTTATAGTTTGTCGTGTACTGTATTGTTTTTATTATTATTATAATCTGGATTTATCCCCCCGAATTCAACTTCTTGTAATCTAATTTAACCAAATTGGTTAAATTCATTCATATAAACTAAATTCATTAATGAAAAGTAAGAAAATCAATTACACCTCTACTGCATGTGAATTTTCTTTGATTGCTTTAACGTACGCACATATTGTATTTATAGGATAACAAGAAAATGATTTTTTTCTTTATTCATAATTTATATGAAATTTTAAGATTATAAGGATAAGATGAACTGACAATAAATAAAAAATAAATAAATCATTTAATTATAAGTTTATAAAAGTAAAGATTTTTAATCTAAATTAATATAATTTTAGAATGAAGGTTTTGAATTTTCATTTTAATTGGGTGAATTAAACAAGTGGTTCCTAGATTATAGGGAGTTGTTTTGTTGAGTCCCGACTATTAAAAGTAAAAAAATGATCACTGACTATTCATTATGTTCCAAACTCATCCTTTTTCGTTAAAAAATTAACGACAGAATGAGCTGAACATTAACATGTTGACTGAGATATGATAAAATATTATCTCATAATCTCAAACGATTATCATATCTCAGTTAACATGTTAATGTCCAACATAGATGACCATTAATTATATAACAAAAAGGATGAGTTTGGAACGTAATGAATAGTTGGGTTACCATTTTATAACTTTTAATAGTTGAGAGACTTAACAAAGCAGTATCATATAGTCGAAGGATCATTTGTGTGTTTTACCCATTTTAATTGTACCAAGAAAACTTCTTTTTTCCTTATCGTTGTTAGTCTCTTTTCTTCTTCATCTTTGTGACCAGCGATGACATCAGTCTTAGTGTGGACACTAACCGTCGATATTCATTTTTTTTTCCTTTATTTTATTATATTATATCTTTGTTTTTTTTTTAATTTTTAATAAATCTACCTTTATGAGATGTTTTTCTTTGCCTTTATGGCACATTTTCCTTAGTCTTTTAGCACGTTTTCGATCGTTTTGTTTTTTTATTTATCCTTTTTCTCAGGTTTATATTTAACATCGTCACAATTGCGCTTATTTGTTATCATGTTATTATTTCCTGCTTTGGGATCCTTGGATTAGATTCAGATACACGATTTGTATTCGTGGATAATTTTCTCACGTCGCTCAACTCTGATTTACAGTTTTTCGTTGGTATTTAAATAACTTGATTCATTTTTATGGTTCGTTTGTCGATGCAGTCAGATATGTTCTTATCTACCTTTTATTCGAGTTTGTTTGGTTAGATTTTTTAACTTTTTCCTTTTATGGTCATTGTGTGATCTTAAGTGACTAGTTTTTGTGTTATTGATGATAAGAAAATGTCTTTATTATGTGTTCGGTTTACGATTGTGGATGTAAACATTCATTAGATATTTTTTATTTTTAATAAAACTAGCACCTTCTATAAAAAATAATTATACAAACTTTCTGAATATATAATTGACTATTATTAATTGGGATGAATATGTGAAAATACCTTATTCAAGATAATAATATAATTTATCTCTCAAGTATTTAGGGATAATTGCAATAACTAATATTCATCTTTTTATTTTTTTAATTGACTCATTATTATACTTAATAAAAAATAAAAATTATATATATATATATATCGGGCCAAGTCAGTCATATGCGAGTTTTTACCCCTAAAATTTGGATTAGATTATAGGTCAAGTAGAGCCTTCTTAAACCCGAATTGAGCTAGGTGATAGGTGATGGAGTGTACTACTCGGATCAGAGTTAGGTTGACCAAAAACTCGACCTGGCTCATATTCATCTCTAATTATTAATTATAGTAAATACAAATTTAAATATTGATATACAATTCTCATATATAAATCTTTTCCTTTGATAGTCTTTTTCCAATGGAAAATGAATCTTGAGTAGTGCATATAAACAACCATTTAAAAAGAAGTTGTAATATAATGACTTCCAACGACATAATGAAAATGTTCTTTTAGAACCATTTCCCAATATCTCAAAAAGAAAGAAATGACCAGCTCAGTTGGTAGAGCACAAGGCTCTTAATTTTAGGGTCGTAGGATCGAGTCTCACGGATGCATTACTTATGGGAATGAGGGTCAGCTAATTTTTTTTCCCAATATCTCAAAAGAAGAAGGAAATCAAGTGAAAGAGACATAGACGGTGATGCTTCCTTGTCAAAACAAATTTGATATTTGTGAATCAAAAGATGGGAAAAGTGCCCTATAATTCGGAACACACTTGCATGCATGTTTCCGTCCCCTAAAGACTTTTGGTGCCGAAAGAGCATTAGATATTGTATGTGACACATTCATGAAAGTTGTCTGTGTCCAAAGAAGAAAAGATATGTTATGTTGGTGGCTGATTGCTTGCTTGGGATCAAAGGGACATAAGGATGTCCCCCTCTGTCCCCCATATGTACTTCAACTTGATTGCCTCAAGATTTTCTTTCATACCATTATGATCCCATTCATTATTCTATACTTTTTATCGATTTTAATTACATTACTATATGATTATATCCATGCATAATATTAGTTTATCAATTATAATTATTATTGTCGTGAATAATCGTATATTAAAAATTAATAGATAATGTATGAAACATTTAAGGATATTATTGTTTATGAATACAAGTTACAATATATATAACAAGTAATAAATCTATGTTATTAATATTTATTGTCAAATAATGTATAGGTTGAATATATGTAAATACTAAAATAATTAATTTTTAATTTATGAAGACCTAAATAAAAATTAAGGTAAATATGTAAAGTTACATATCATGATTATACTCTCCAAATTACATATTAATAAATTTATTTTATGTCATTGACTTCTCTAAAATATCGTGTGGTAATTTGAAA